TAAACTCCTCTGACATAATAAATTAGGATATAAGCATCCTTGTCCTCCCTCTCTGCTGTGTGTCATATCCAGTTTCCACATTCTGAAAACTCAAATTAATTTTTCTGGTGACAGTAAGACCCATGCTTTTCTTCTCATTGATTTCTCACTGCATTCTGCTTTTCCTGTCCATTGTGAAGTAACATTCATCCTTTTTTAAATTTCAGTCTTCTTCTTCAGTCTCTAGGTGTTGGGCATCTCCTTTCCCACCATCTGACATAATAGGTCTGGCATTTCCTTTTTTCCAAGAGGCAACCTTAGCTTCTCCAGTTTTCTTTCAAGAAGAGTAACACACCATGCCCTGCCCCACAACTCCTGCTAAATGTGCTGGAGGGCTCCCTTGAGTTTAATGCCTTAGCCTCTGTGATGAGAGCAGGTTTGAATACATGGAGTGTAAATATTATTTACAGGGAACAAACATCTTCACGTTTTTCCCTCTTTAGACAGATAGCAATGAGACACACACATTTCATTAAGCAAAAATGATCATCTGCTTTCCTAAGCAGCAATCTTCATTCTCGCTTAATAATCTGCCTTTAAGTGAACTAAGAGTGTTTTAATTAAAGGATGCAAACAATTGGTCTGACTTTGAGAGATGCTGAGCACCTGGAATTGCGAACTGCAGATGGTCTGTCCCTGCTCCCCTGACCTGCTCCTCTGACCCTCGTTAAGGGCACACCACAGCACATGATGGCTGTGCAGAGTCAACTCTCACCTCTCTAGACATCGTAATGTAAATAATAACATCATACATAACCCCTGTCATCTAACAGAAGCTAACCTGGCATCTGCATGGCAGTTTATCCCAAATGTGTAGGTATTTATGGTAAGGTAGAAAAGGCAAGAACTGTGAGGGATCAGGCTCTAGGTCATCCTAGGACTCAACAAAATCTACTAAAGATGGCTCTGATGCAAAACACAACTCAGCCAGTTCCTTTTCATCTTTCTTATCCACAAAGCCATTGAGACTCCTCACACTGCTCTGAGGGGAGTTTGTCCTAGGGCTGAGGCTGTCCCAAATCTCTGTGTCACACTGATTCAGTCTCCGTCACCGCACATGAGCTGGTCAGGATATGCACAACAGACAGATACGCTCTGAATGGAAAGCAAAAGTGTACAGGGATTTAAAAGCAGAGGGAAATGTCAGCTATCTTCTAGGAGCATAGCAGTAAAAATCAAAAAAGGATGTGCATCCCCTGCAATGCTGAATTATCACCCTAATAAATGCCACTGCCAAGGAGAAGCTTCTTGCACAAGACAGTGTGGCCTCAGAGACTAAACAGCCACTTTTATACTTGCCTTTCATAAACCCAGTGGGAGGAAATTTTTCTGACAGCAGTATCTGCCACATTAATTTCTTACATCAGTTCAAGCTGTTTTATCTTCTGTTTGGTGTCTTTGGTCATATCCACACAAATGTGTTCAGGGCCTCTTTTCCACTCCCCAGAAATCAAATGCTTCCAGGTGGGTCTGATGGAGGGTGTAGTGGTGTCACAACTGTAAAAACCTCACTAAACTTTCCTTTGTCCCTCTGTCACAGCTGCTATCAGCAGAGGTAAGGAGGTAATATGAGAAGTAAGGCGGAAGAACAGGAGGGGAAAAACTCCAGCATGCTAATCTAATTAACCTCCAGACCTGCAGTTACAGCCCAAGAAGAGAGGAAAGGCATCTGCAAGCAAACTTCAGCAACCTGATCCACATAAGTGAATGGGAGAGGATGAAGAAGCAGGAACCAACTAAAGCTTCTTAACATTCCTGGAAAGAAACATCCCAGAAAGGAAAAGAACCTGCAAAGGGATTCCATACAGGAAATACAAATTATCCACCTGATTTATTGCACAAGGTGAATTTAAATGTGATGGCAACCCCCAAAGTTTCGGATGTATCAAGCCTACAGTGTCAAGAAGGGAGAAGAGTTTACAAATTATAGTGGCTTACAAAGAAGCTCTGGTCCTTCTTTCACTACATATCCATGTGAGGTTATAAAAGAGGAAAGCAACATGGACTTCACAGCTGGAATTTCAAACAAGGTGCTAAACTGACGGTTTCCTGCCCTGCTCTTCTCCAACACCAGCTTTACACGCCAGCTCAGAGACCAGCCACCACATAATTTTTAAATTTTCTTTTTATTTACCATTCAAACAATCCACTGATACCATTTTAGTGTCATCGTGTCTTAGAGCCTTAGTCCAGGATCAAGACTTTAATGCAGCAGGTGTCATGCACACTCAGGGCAAAAAGACTATCTCAAAAAATTGAGATTTAAGGATGTGTGGGCATTCTAACCCAAATAAAACCTGAATGCAGATGTTTCCAGTTCAATTACCCATTTCTGCATTTTTTTTCTTTTTAATTTCATGCAGGGGATTAAATAATTTTATCCAAACTAACACAAATATCACTTAAACTAAGCAAAACTTTCCCACCACTTCTTGATTTTCAGTTTGACACATTTTATTGAAAGAAGTTAAAAATAATCAAGAAATATTTTTCCATAAGCCCCATGGCTACATGTGCAGTAGAGTTCCTTGCTGGAGTGAATACCAAAAGCAGAAATGTGTTCAAAAACCACCTGTAGACATTCTTTGAAAAAAGATCCCTCAAGGTGGTTAGATACAAAGGCACAGGCAGTGTTTCAAACCTGCATTGCCTAAGCTTCAGCCAGGGGAGAGGGTGTTCCAGGACAAGGATCTCCCTGTATTTGCCCAGGTCTTGTAATCTTTTCCCAAGTTCCCAATGCCAGCCCTCCTCAGGGAGAAAACAATGGACTCAGAAAGAATTTCTGCCTGCCCCAGCATGACCATTCCTGTGTAAAAGACAATGAAAAAAAAAAAATTGGCTCAGAAAAAATAAGCTTTAAATTGCTACCTGATATGATCAAAACAGAAAAGCCTACCATCAAATCCATTTCTGTGAGACACAGCAGCTGAACAAGATGTCACTACACTGAGCAGGGCACAATCTGAGGATGAGCCACAGTTTGAAACCAAAACAGCACACAAAATAACAACGAGCAAACTTTTAGCAAACACCACAGGAAGCAAGAGGTCCTAATGAGATGTTTGAAGGAGATGGAGAGACTATTTGCTCTCACTGTGACATCCGATGCCCTTGCATACTGTTTTGGGAATTACCAGAGAGTTTCTGCCACCAGCAATGTCACTCAGGCAGCTTTCTCGAGGAGAAATGTATTTTAAAGGTTTACAGACACAGGAAAAAGATAATATACTAAATTGTCAGTTCTAGAGAGGCACTTTCACATTCCTGCTGGACTGAGTGTAATGGCATCAATCTGACACCAGATGCAGACTACAGTGCAGAGATTAATCATAAACAGTTGACTCTTACTGGTCGGGAGCAATGGACAGAGCAGGAATGTTTTGCTATTATTTCTGCCATTTCTAAGGTCACTTGTGGTATAATACATTAATTCAAACAGTAGCCAGTGATGCATGTAGCTGAGAGAGGAGACTGTATCCACTAGTGCCAAAACTTGCAAAAGGAAAAAGAGTGATCAGCTCATATAAAGCTGGGACTTAAAAAGCCTGCAGAAGACAGGTCCTAAGCAGCAAGTCCAGCACCTGGCAGGCACCAAAATTCATGGGAAACTGCATCTAATTAGACTGATGAAGTTATAATGTGGCTGTGTGATGCAGGTAGTTCTTAGAACTTCTGTCTTCAAAGGCTTTGCTTCTCTTAATAAACAACATAAGAAATTACCTTCTAGTACTTTCAACTCTTTTAAGCTTTTGTGGAATAAATATTTGCAATGGGATGTAGGGGCTGGTTTCGGTGAAACACATTTTGAGTTTGCTTTAGAAAAAAAAACTCTTATAAATAGAGGTCCAAGCAAACAATAAACATCCCGAGCTAAAGGAAAGGGCACTGAGCGGCACTCTGGATTACTTGGCACCAAGGTAAAAAATGTGCACCATGGAAGGGAGCTGCGAACAGCATGCAAAGAGGAGCTCAAAGCACTGCCTGCAAACAGGCTGTGTGTGTGACACTCAGCCCTCTCCGATGCTGGGCTGGAAACAACCGCTGAGAGGTTTTGAGCGTGAGTCCCAGCGCTGAGTGCCGAGGAGAGGGGGAGAGAAGGCTCCGAGTGGGTGGTGGGAGCTGAAGAGCTGGGGCTCAGCCCAGGGACAGCAGGTCACAACTCCCAGGCGCGTCTGAGCTCCTCGGCAAGCTATCACCCACTTCAGGTTCTGCTGGTCCAAATATACAACTCTGACAGCTGAGCTGCTTCTCTGCAGAAGAGCTGAGCACATGCTTGTCCACCTCTGCACCGCTTTACGCGCACCTTGGCACCCCTTCCTCACAGCCCGGTCGTAGCATCTCCGAGAAGATGAACAGCCTCACCCACGAGCACACACTTGCGAAGATCCCAAATCCCACACAAGTCGGGTGCTTGGAACAGACCTCCCCCTTCATCCCTGCTCCCGGCAGCAACCTTTCCACCTAATTTAGCATACACCAGGCTCCCCCCCACCCCACTCCGGAGGACTCGTGTGGCCCCTCCCAGCCCTGGAGCGGCGGAGGCGGCACAAGCGCAGGGTCAGCATCGCACCGGGGCTGCAGGTGGGCGCATCCCGGGCTCCGCGCCGGGCATCACACCGGGCACCGAGCTGGGCATCACGCTGGGCATCACACCGGGCACCGAGCTGGGCATCACACCGGGAATCACACCGGGAATCACACCGGGCATCACACCGGGCACCACGGCGGCTCAGCGCCGGCACCGCCCGCCCCGCGGCTCCCGCGAGGTGCGGGCAGCGCGGAGCCGCCGCGGCCGCAGCGGCGGGCAGGGAGCGCTCGGGGCGGTGCCGGAGCTTTCCCCGCCGGCTGCCGCTTCCCCGCCCCTCCCCGCCTTCTCTCGTTTCATTTTTGGCGGGGGCAGCGCCGGCTGCGGAGGGAAACGCTTCGCTCTCCGCGTTCCGGGACCGGCGCCTGCCGCGGTGCGGATGCGTATGGACGAATCGTCGTGAAAACAGCTCCCGACGTTTTCCCCTCAAAAAAAAAAACAAACCAAAAAAAACCCCAAACCCAAACAAACCACCCACTTGGATAATTAAAACGGTAAATCCAGCTAACTTTTCATTATCTTGCTTGCTGTGTGCTTATATATGTAGATATTTGTTATTTATCTGGCTTCGTTTCGTCATCCTTTGATTTTTGTTAATTATCTGATCTTGTGCTGCCGGAGAACTTGAAATATTAGGGTTTAGAACAGAGGAGGACTCCGTTTCTCCTTCCTAAAGTTGGACTGAGGAATGAAAACGTTCCTAGCTCATACCAGCCTTGTGAATATGTTTATTTGCACTGCCAACCTGAACATAGATGAGATTTCCTGTGGCAGGATCCTCTTGAGTTTGCTTTTCCTTTAATTTTTGCCAATAATACAGCAAAGATGAGTGTATGCTACACACATGCAGTCCTGTAGGCTGATAGATTTTGTATGCTGGCATTCACAGCTGAGATTCCAAGCAGGCTTTGAATGTCTTGAGTTTATGATGTTAACAAGTGAACTGTCTTCTGTTTTCATCCTAATTCAATTTGTGGATTCTGCCAAGAGATCATCTAAACCGAATCAAGTAGTGTTTCTTAGCCCTATAATTATTTTTTTGCCTTTTCTGAGATAGAAGCATGCTCTCGTTTGTACAGGTCACACAATTTGTACAGCTTTATAATCCAGAGGGCTTTTGTTTGAGAGGATATTCATTTTCTACCGTCCCTGTACTGGTTGGATGCTTTATGAGACTGGGCAACCCCAGGCTTTCTGCACATTATGAAAACCAGCTTTAGGAAATTAAATGTCTTTGTTGGGTATTATAATTCCACAGATACTTACGCTTGCTACTATAAGATATTCTTCTTTTTGGACTAATTAATCCAGCAGATATTTACCTGAGGAAAATAAGACTGAGAGGTTAGTTTAAAAAAAAAAATATCAATGTATACATGGAGAAAAGACTGTCTTATTCTCATCAAACAAGAGAAAATGAGAGCATCAGTTTCATAGTTGCTAAAAATTACTGAGCTGAACTTTGCTGTAAAATATGGGCTAAACTTCCAAGTCTGACTTGGGGAAAAACTTAGCTCAGGGCTCTGAGCTCTGTTGCTCTTCATTGATTTTTTTCGTTCCTTTCTGAGAAGTCAATCATGTATTGATCTACCTACCCATGCATGCGTGAGCATATTCACCTGCACAGGCACACACACCTGATACTGTCCAAGTGCAGGACTTGTGAGTTGAGGTTTTGAGCCACAGAGGACTACAAACAATGCAGAGAAAAGGAAAAAGGAGGAGGGATTTACAATATTTGTTGTTGGGCACGAATTTTAGGGACCTTGCCTTGGAAATGAGTCTCAGTAGTCAAAGAAGAGGCAGAACCTTATGTGCACTTGGCACAGCTTCTGCTCTGAACTGCTGCCTGCTATGATTACATCTGTATTTAAATTAACTTTCAAAAAACTTGTGTTCATCCATCATTTATCTTGTTAATGTTAAAAATGGCGTAAAACATGCATTTGCTGGTTAATTTGGTCTGCTAAATTCTAAGATCTGTTGACCCAAGAGACAAGTACTTTGCTTAGGGGCTGAAAAAATTATTTTTGTTTATGATCATACAAACTGCTGTGTGCTGGCACTGCATGCTTCACTTCTTGCAATGTTGCATGAAACAGGAATATGGAATTAGGAGGCATTTTTTTCTTCTACACATAGGACTTAAAGGGGTTAAGAGATTGGTCAGCAGCACTTCTCAGAGCATTAGTTACTCCAAGGATTATTACTTTCTGAACACTTGGAAAGGTACAGGTTGCTTTAAGGTACTGTAAGTAAACTGCTCTTGGTACCCCAGCCTCTTCCTAGTTACCATTCATACCTTCTATCTTTGGTGGAATTTCTGCAAAGTTCAGATTTCCACCAAGCCTGTCATAAATGGCTGGAACTTTCTTCTTTTTGATTGTGGAGACTGAAGCACCTGGAATGTTAAAGGAGAGAAAAAGGAAATCAGCTCCAAGCCATTGTGAAAAGTTAATAAAATATCTAAAATAGGATTTCTGGCTTACTTAAAAGTCTGCTTTTTTTAAGAGGAGATTAATCAAACCTTTGTTGTTTTGGAGTTTTATTGTTATTATTATTGTTGTTATTCCCAGAAGTTTTGGACTCTACATCTCTCACTGCCCTTGGTGAAACCTGCAAATAAGCAAGTTTCCCTGCATGCTTCCTCCTCCTTCCTTCCCTGAGAGCTCCAAATTGCCTGTTTTTTCATCGAGGCAGCAAATGAAAGGGCTGACAGAATTCAGTCAGGCAGGAGGCACCACTGCATGGAGAATCTGACTCCAGTACTGAGATTCCTCTTGAGCTAGGGTTACAGGACATCTCTCAGGTGCTCATGCCATTTTGTGCTCATTCCACATCCAAGGGTGACATACCACTGTTCTAGTGTTTGAGAGAGCACAAGTAATTAAAATTCAGATATCTTTAATGACTTACTGATGCACAGCTGTTAAAAGTGACAACTGAATTTATTTAATCTGAAAGAGAAATACCTTTTTGCCCCAACTTTCTCTAAGGTATTTACTAAGAAAAAAGCCTTACTTTGCTGCCAGATTCAGTGTTTGGCCCTACTATTAACCTCTCACCCAGAAACTGGGGGAAAAAGGCACAGCTTCAAAATGCATGAAAAACTGACTTTAAGACAGCTTTAGCAGTTGAGATCAGTTTTTATACCTTTGTCTTTTAAATGACTAATCTCTATCTGTGGGTGTCCATTTAACCTGTGATATAACTCTAGAAACTGCTGGAAGCAATTTGTACTATAGGATCTGAAGTGATTAACATTGGGTACAAATATACATAAAGCACTTCAGTATTTGATGGGTTGCATCTCTTGGCTTTGGATGCCTTTCTCTTTTTTTTTAATGTCACATTCTCATCTGCAGGGTAATTTATGAGCACAAGCAAAGGTTACAGACTTCCTAATTCAAGCTTCAACTGTTATGGCATTTTTACACAAATGCTCATTTTCTTTGTCATACCATTTAGCAAAAAGGATCAATGTGCTCCATTATCCTGCAACTATTGCTTGAAAAAAAAGTGGTTCTATCAAAAATGTGTCCCCTGGTTGTATTTTTTTTGTAAACCAAATATATATGTCAGACGTAATGTTGCCCTCTGCTATTATATTATGTTTCCAAATGTAATAAAGTTGGGGAGGTTTCAATGTATGAAAAAACAAAAGTATTTTTCCCATGGGCATTTGATGTCCATGGTTGGAGTTTTACTCCTGGCAGAGGAACAAGTCCTTCTGCCTATATAATTCATATTTCAATGAAAACCAGGGCACATTTTAGAAAATGTTGGGAATGTATATTATAGATATTGAATTTCAAATGTTATTTTCTTGATGTTTCATGTTACAAATTAATGCTGGAATAAGAGAATGGGATTGGAGGTAATTTCCTCCACATTCTCTTTAGTTCCTCAGTTTTGCAGTTACTGGAGGAAGAAAAGCACATGAGAGTACAGTGAAATATGCAGACCTAGACATCCTAAGAATTCACTAAACGCTTTTGAGTTTGCCTTGCCTACAGTAGGAGTGTGTCACATGGTAATTTGGGAAGCTTGCTTGGAAATGGAAGAGTTATGAAACTGGGTTTGCCTCCTACAGGTGCACATCCCTGTGTGTGCATTTGCAGGTTTGCCGTAGGGGAGAGGTCAAAAGCCCAAAATTAAAAGCAGGATGGCTAATTTTAAAAAGGCTTGCTCTGCCATGAAGCATCAGCTGCTCAGCACTACAAAAAGTCCAGCCTAAGGACTCCCACATCACTGTCTCCTCTGCAAAATGGGAGGATTGGAAAAGCTCTGTCAGTATATGAGAAAAGTAGCCTTGTTGACTATGTTTAAGTATTGTTTCTCCTTGTCAAAATGCAAGATAAGCTTTGAAAATTTTGAGTTGCAAGCATCTCCAAATTTAAGACAAGGCTTATCAAAGTGAAAAAATGGTTGCCTAAGTTTTGGGTTTTTTTCCTTATTTGTTCCTAGAATCTTGTGCCTAAATAATTGTATTTTGTAAGAAACCATTACTTCACTATGTTAAATGGCAGTGTTACCTTTTTAGGCTTTGACTGAACTGAATTTGGGTTGATTGTGAAAAACAGAATGGTTTAATGGTGAAAACATCCAAAAAGAATCAGCCAGTCAGCTGGCCCACGCACAAACACAGCAGTTATGCCCTAAGTGCCTAACTGTTAAAAAGTCATTCTCTGCTGCAGGGAATCCTGGATTTCAGAGTGACAGACCTGCTATTGAGCTCTCTGTGAGGTGCAAAGAGGGGCCAAGGTGATACAGCTGTCCACTTGTATAAATAAGTAGGTGTCTGTGCTTACATATGTACACTAACACACAGAACACTGCCATGGAGGCCAAAGCAAAACCCATGTGAATGAACAAAAAGTTGTGATGAAATGTGAAGCAACACTGGGATGATGATCTGCTGGAGAAATAGGAAAGGAAAGCACAAATGAAAACTAGGAATCACAGAAATGTCTGATCCAGTACGTAGATTTTTGACATGGGTGAGAAGGGTTGGAACTGGCTACCTCACCCAGAAATGCTTATGCAGTAATGAGAGGGGATTATAATTTGATGGAATTCTGCCAAAGGGTATTTTGTACCTATTGAAGTGTGGTTTCATTTGGCAGCTTCTCCTAACTTGAGAAGAACTTCCAAACTCTGCTGCCATATATCACAGTCAAAAATATGACAATGTTAGAACACTTTGACCTTCAAAATAGAATTTGAGAGTATTAAATTACTGCACCTGCAACATAGTTGTGTCTGCAATAACAATTACAGGCAAAACAACAAGTTTCAGCATCCTCTTCCCCCTTTTTCACAGCAGCGGACATAAAAGTTCATTTTAGTCAAGGTATATTCCTTTTCCTTTCTTCCTAGAACTGTCTGTAGTTGGTTCCTGCAGCAGCTGAGTGAGCAGAGCAGGACAGTTGGCTTGGGTCTTCATGGACTGGAATGCCAAATATTCCTGCTTATTGTTTCCTCCCTCTGACAG